TACGTTAACTATATAATGTTGCAGGCGGAATGTAAGATACATGTGAGATGACCTGCTGCCACTATGGCATTGTCATAGCCAGTGGTCTAGTAGGGGAGGGGCTCTGGGGGACTTAGGCCACCCCCCTCCACCAGTTTAGGACACTTTTGGAGAAAAGAGACAAAACTACCTGGGGGGGGGTGTGGAGGGGTGACACCCCCTGTCTCTATCTCATCGGGTATACCTATACAATTTAGTCGGGCAAATTTTGAAAATATTTGAGTGTCTCAGATTGAAAAGTAATAGTGGTAGGAAAAAGTGGTAGTGAAAAATGCTCCACGCTCACCAACAATTTTGAGAAAAGAAATATTAATTAGCGATTCATCAAATGTTCGTCCCTCAGGAATGACTTTGGAAACAACCCTTTTGCTCAGGCAAAACAAGTTAACCTCACCCCCCCCCCCTAGCCGTAATACAGAAGTTTTGCCCCTGTTGGAGAGCCCCCCTTGTTAACATTCCAGGACTACAACACTAGTCGTAGCCATACTGACATTGTTAGCATATATAATTTCAGCACATCAAATTGTATGCTCTTACTGCAGTAGCAGATACTTTTGGTGGGAAGGCGTTCAGTTGCCACAACATCAACACCTTACGGTGTTCTAAATCTCAGTCCTTTAAATTTTACCTCAAAATTCTGGCAATTTATAGCTTATTTTATTCCCAACCTATGCTTTCATGGATGCTACATCATCCAAAGGCTTTCAGAAATGGGAGAGTGGTTTGCACCCTACACTGCTGTCCTGTTTATTTTCTGTTAAGCCCCAAGCTGGCCAAGCAGCTTATTTATTTCAGGCATGGAGTCTAGAAACTATAGCTTGTAATCTCAGTTTGAGAGGATGTGGAGGGCTTAAATTAAGAGTAGGTTTGTTATAAAATTATTACTTTCATCGAATATTCCACTACTGTAATATGGCGTTGATGTATTTGTAACAGATCCATAGCTCACATAATTTAATACTTTCTTATATTTATAAAGTTACAAGAATATTATGGTATACTCAAAAATAGAGTCTTATATCCACACAAAAATTCAATGCTGGCTATTTCCAAACGGCAAACACAGGTCCAGAAGAAGCCAAAATCCCAACACTGGCAATCACTAGCGCAATTGAATTGAAGTAAATATTTTGTTACATCATCATATCGGTAATTTATATATAAACAAACAAAAAGTATTTGCCATAATACAAGATACAAAAGTGTACAGATCGTACGTATAAATCCTCAATCAGATTAAATGTAACAATTAACTTGTATTGGAAATAAATGCAATTTCGACTTTGTTTACGTCGTATTCGTGAATTTCCACGTGTAATTCCCGCACTTGAACACCAATTTCCGGTATCAGTGTTATTGATCTCACGCCAGCCAATGAAATTGATAATTTCATCCCGTTTCTCCAGAGTCATGCCCAGCACCTAACCTGCGAACGGGCATACTCTGGGTACGAGATTGCACACTATTCGCAATGTTCGTAATCAATATCTATGTAGGTATCATGTGATACAGGTATTGTATAAAATGACCACACCTAGCATAAATTGCACCATTTAGCGTGAATTCCGTAAGGAGGCACAAATCTGACCGAGAGACAAAAAATGGACGACCCGAACTGTGCGAATTTCGGTGCGAATCATGGCGGAGGAAGAGCAATTTCTTGTTCAAGCAGCGCCGCCAGTTGTTCCGCAAGGCCTTGATCACGCCGAAGTCTTACTGCAAGATCATCCCGCAGCGCCAGGACCGTAACAAATCCCGAACAATTTGGAAGTATAACTGTGTTCGTTACATTACAATCGTACTCGTGTTCGCTTGTCCGTGCATGAGCGCCTTATGAGTTTAGTTGTGATGGATCCCTTCTGTTAAGCCCCGTTTACACTACACTCATTTTCGGCACGGCACTCTTAAATAATGGCACGCTAACCATTTTCTTGAAAAATCAGCATCGTTTACACTACAAATTTTGGCGGGCCATCAAGATGTACTGGCACCCCTACTGTTGAATACGGCCCGCTTAAATACTGCGCCCTTAAATCAAACTTCAGCGGTTAAATTCTTAAAGTAAAATTCGCGGGCATTTTAAAAAATGGAGGATGTAAAAACAGCAAACTCGGCACTTGTTTGGTATTTTTATGTGACAAAACGGAGACGTTTGCTCTTGGCAAAATTTAAAGATAACCGTGTAGGTAGAATAGCACTTCACAACATAAGAAAAGGTATTTAAAAAAGAATTCACCGAAACTGTACTAGCTTTTTTTTCATCGACGACGGCTGGCACTTACATTATATTATCTAGCATCCACGGCTGAATGCCGCACAATTTGCAACTTATTCCGAGTTTCACGGTCGTTTGTGTCCCAGTGCATTAAAGAAGTATGTCATGCAATAGCAAAGCAGTTTCCAAATCATCAAATGCTATCAGCTTCCCTATAAGGGTGATGATCTTGCGAGTCATTCGAGGTTATGAATAGACATGGAGCTTTCCCATGTGTGCAGGCGCTGTAGATGAAACTCACATACCGATACTGGCCAGGGCCGCCCAGAGGATGGGGGCAGGGGGGACAAATTGCCCCGGGCCCCGAGTTGCTGGGGGCCCCTGAAAAATTTTTGTTGGGCCCCAGCATTTTTTGTGTGTTAAATATTTCCGCGCAAAGGACAAGATATCTGTTTTCTTGGGCTAAGTACCGAATTTTGGCATAAAAAGATGAGATAAAGTCCCCTCGAAAGCAGTTGCAACGTACTGGTCCGGAAAAATTTTGTACTCCGGAAAAATTTTTTTACCCCTAAAATGGTACACTGACCGAAAATTTTTTGGCACGGGAAAATTTTTTTAGATAGGGGCCCCTAAAAAAAAATTTGCCCCGGGCCCCCGCCAACCTCTGGGCGGCCCTGATTCTGGCACCTAACAAAAATCACACAGATTATGTCAACCGTAAGGGCACAGAATAGATAATAGGACCAGAAGTCTTACTCAAGCGGAAACATGTCCCATCTTTTATACTGCGCATGCGCGAGCTAAACAAGTGTAATGCAGTGTTGACAATAGAAAATTATATTGGAAAGTTGTCATTTCTACAGTAGAAACAGCTTTTTTTCAAGTAGTACGAAATGTGACTTCGATTTATCTGTGGAACTATTTGAACAGAAGGTAAAGCAGTAATTGTACTTCATAATACTCGCCTCGATATAACAATGTAAATGCCCTTTATTAACTTCACTCACAATAGCAATTTACAGAATATATTAACTTTAACTCAAAACGAGGTTGCCCCTGCTCATATCCCCGGCATCCCCTTGTCCACGTTGCCTTTTTTCTTTGCTCACAATGGCGACAGTCACTGGAAGCTGCGACGATGAAGTTGTTATGTCAGAAATCCAGTCGAATCCGAAGACACCTCCAGGTAATCTTAACAGTGATACAATCGAACAAATTTCGAAAGCTGTACAGGATCAACTTTTCTTGTATTTAGAAAGCAAACAGGGTCATATTTTTTAAAAAATAGCGCACTGAATATAAATTTGAGCATCATTAAAATGTGTTCGCTATGATGCCATTTTGTCTCCGGTATACACGGAGTTCTGCTTTTATACTTGTGGATATTCAAATTTATTTGGCTCAAAAACACCATTACTTCAATATCCCTTTCTTGGTTTTCCTTGGATAGGTTTTAACAAGATAGAACTCTAGATCCCTTGGGTCCAAAGACGCTAGATTATAAAATCCTGATGTGACTTGATACTACAAATAGAATATGTCTTATGATTTAATACTACAAATAAAATGTCTTTTAAGTACAAACTTCAATGAATTGATAAAGTGTAAGGATAGTGTTTAAAGTTGCTTCATGTGTAGAAGCTGAATTACTTTAGTTTATACACTGTAATGTCGAGATCACATGTTGATATGACTTAATACCAGCAACTTGCAATAAGTGGTCTGTTCTGCTTGTTTATAATACTTTAGAGTTTGGACATTAGAACATTGTAATTGCCTGACAGAGATTGTTAGGGCCTGTTTGTATGGAAGCCAGGCTGGCCCGCTTAGCAAGACAGCCCGGTAAGGTAGATAAGCAGTATGATTTCTCTTGTGTTTATTTGAGAAAATTTCATTCCGCTTACCGGGACAATTTTGTTGTTTTGACATTATTTTGACAGTTGTTAAAAATAGCTTGCGGCAGTATCTTTGAACTTTCATCCCGGCAACCGGGCTAGCCTGCTTATGATTGTTTATGTGGAGAAATTTCCATCCTGGTCTTGGCAACCGGGGCTGCCCGCTTGTCCACATCCTCGTCCCCAGGCCCAAGCTCGGGCGGCCCTCACAGTGGCCCTGGTTCAGGCTGTTGATCTGCGTCGGAATTCCGACGCAGAGGCTTGGTCGCACAGCATATGCCTTTCTCCCTAAAAACATGGCGACTATGAATATGCAACTGTACGAGGAAGGCAGAAGCAATATATTTTGCAATTGCAAAAACAAATAATACTCAAATTAAGTTAAAGGAAGAGCAGAAAGAAGATATTCGTCAAATAGTAAATGGAAGGGATGTTAAATCGTTGATATACCAACTTTTACCGTCCATGTTCGACTACATTAATTCGAGAAAAAGAAATATTTCTGCTGTGTTGCCAGAAACAATTGTGATCGTGATTTCCCCATTAAATGCACTGGTGGGCGACCAAATAGACAAGCTAAAAACTGACATGG